TTTAAGATGATAATGTGAAGCTCTTATTGCCTTTTTTTGCAAGGTAAAGACTGGATTTGTGTTAGTCTTATATGTATTGGCCCAAATCTCAATACCGTAGGTTATGTAGGGCATTACCAGCGAGTTGTATATAATAAAAATACTTTTTTAAAATCTAGAATATATCTATATTTGTATAGAATTGCGATCACTTTGGATAACTTTTTTCAAATTTTATTTATGTGTGATTTCCAGTTTAAATATAAGACCACATGGGAATGATAAAGACTAAAGTACTTTTATCTAATGCTCAAAACCACATTCTGTTGGTTAAAGAAAGTTTTTATTATCATAGCGTTATCAAAATCAGTATTGAGTATCGAGTCTATTTCAGTATCGTGAAGAAACTACTTTCCAATAAACAACATGAGCATTTTTACAAAAAGTTTATTTCGAATCAAAGACTAAATATAAAAGGACAGTATTTTATTTTAGTTCAACTCTCCTCTTGAACAACTGCAGAGGAAACACAAAAAACACACAAAAACACACCACAGAGAAAAGTAACAGCGACTGATTTTCACAAAACAAAACACAATATTTTAGAAGTGCTGTGTTATATTTTCTCCTCTGCAAGGCCGTCTTGTGGAGAGGGAGAAGCTGGTTTCCTTTTGTACATCAGAAATTTGGAGCTGAGCAAGTTCAAGTCCAAACTGTCCTCCAGAAGTACTCAGTAAATATATGTATATACTGTACACGCAATAAGGCCACGTGATGAATCCAAAACACTAGTGGGAATATTTTCAGCCTGTGTTCTTGTCTGAGTTGCACAAAACAGAAATGAAAAAGTATATGTTTTTTTTGTATTTATTTACTATAACTGAAGTAGAATGGTGATACATTTTCTTAAACTGTTATCAGAAAATCACTGATCACTGATACTGGGCTTTTAATGTTTTTGTTCTACTTCCAATGACAAAAGAAAAGCCGTGAATCTCAAAAGGAAACTGTGTTCACATTCAAGAACATTAAAGGGACAGTTCAGAATTTTGGACATAGGGCCTCATTTCCTCGTGATCCAGAGTGTTGGAGACGTGTGGAGACACTTTTTGAAATATTCCATCCAGTCCTTGTATTTGCAGAGGTCACTGGTGTTAGACTAGTGCATGTCAATGGTCATAGTTCTCCTGCTGCTAAAAACACTCTTACCCACTCCACAATCAGTGTTGGGAAGGTTGACTTTTAAAATGTATTCCCCTACAGATTACAGATTACATATCCCAAAATGTAGTTTGTAACATAATCCATTAAATTACTTACAGTGAGTAACGTAATCTGAATACTTTGGATTACTTGATATTGTAATGTCTTTTTTTTTTTTTTTTTTTTATGCACCAACCACATCCTGAAAATTCTTGATTGTTTTCTTCAAATTGTCTGTTGAGCCCAAGTCTCCATGAACAGACCTGTGTTTACTGTAGAGAAGCAAAGACTAAGATCTTAACACAAAAAGTTTTATCTGCTAAAAGAAAATAAAAAGCCCAGTCTTTCCTTAACCAGATTAAAAATATTATTGATAGAAAAATGATTTTTATATGAGATCACTGCTGCCTTAAATGATGTCCACCTACTGTTAGTGTCATATTGTTTAGACCTGCTTTTGTTCTAGTTTAGTCCTGGTTTATCCCAAAATGTGAAAACAGGAAAATACTGCCATGTAATCCATTTATTTCAACAAAGTAACTGTAATCCAATTACCACTCATTGAAACAGTAACTGTAACTGAATACAGTTACTCATAATTTGTACTCTGATTACGTAACTCCGGTACATGTAATCTGTTACTCCCCAACACTGTCCACAAATCACCAGAGGAAAATCTATTATTACACCAGACTGTCCATGTGAATGTCTGTGTTGATAGAATAATGTTTGAAATAAAACTAACTTTGTATTTGAAGGATTTCTGTCTGAGCAGCAGTGAGTTGTTCTTCCTGATAGAAATCTCGACAGCGGCGGACTGATATATGAGAAAATAGTCCCTCAACATGCGACGATTCATGTGATGCAAGGTTAGTTTTATTTCAAACATTATTCTATGGACACAGACATTGACATGGACAGTCTGGTGTAATAATAGATTTGTTTGGGGTGTTTTGTGGAGTGGGTAAGACTGTTTTTAGTGGCAGGAGAACTATGACCATTGACATGCACTAGTCTAACACCAGTGACCTCTGCAAATACAAGGACTGGATGGAAGATTTCAAAAAGTGTCTCCACACGTCTCCAACACTCTGGATTCATGAGGAAATGAGGCCCTATGTCCAAAATTCTGAACTGTCCCTTTAAAATATTATATAAATAAAAGACATTTGTAATTATTTTTTACAAAAGTGAAAAGATAATTTATTAACTTTATCACAACTTAAAAGTGCATTGTGTAACTTTTCTGGGCGAGGCTCTACTGCCTGCTTGTCTCCATGGAGATGTTACAGCTTTGATTTGATTATTCCACAACATGAAAATAAATTGGTTATCACAACGCAGAAGTTAATGGTCAGATCTGTGGAGAAGCAAGCCTGCACAAAGTAAATAATTCATGTTTTTTCAAGGTAACTTTGAGCTATAAAACACCTGTAATTGAATAAAAGCAAGGCAGATATGTTTAATGCCGTACTGTGGAACATTTCCTGCTAAGAACTAACATCTCCATGGAGAAAAGCAAACAGCGGACGCTCCACCTTAAAAGCTCCACTGCATCTTTAACTTCATATTCTGGGGAAATATTGTAATTTAAATCAACTGTTGATCGTGTCACATAGTCAAATATAAAAAATACATTTTCAGTGCAATAAATATTAAATACAAATAAAAACATTTGCAGTTTGACCCTGTTAGAGTAAGATTAAATAGTCACACAGGCCTGTAACTTCTAGCTTTTATCATAAGGCGAACGATTTAACAGTAATTTGGGCAAAGACGTGTGACTCACTTTTTACAAACTTTGCCAACGCTACAAATAAATCTTATTTCCTTCCACTCCACTTCGAGCATCTGTCTTTCATTTGTCTTCGACTCAAATTGTCCAGATCGCATTCATCTCTGCACCACCTTCTGTTTGTTTTGCTGTAACGTAACTCGAAATAAAGATCATTCTGTTTTTAAAAAGTGCAGGAAGAAAACAAGATGTGCAAATCAGAGAATACAAATATGAAGTACTATTTATAATATAAATCCAATCCAACCAATATCTGTTTTTTCATGGCCGATGCAGATACAGATAGTTTAGAAACCAGAGCAACCGATAAATGATAAGCTCTGCCGATATTTGGAGTCAATTTTAATTATTTTCCTCAAATTATTACCTCATCTGACTTTCCTACAAACAGCCTTGTTCTTTTTGTTTCGTATAAAGTGTTCAGATAAAGCTTTTGTGGATTCTTTTGGCAGGTGGTTGGGCTCTTGGAGACTGAAGGCAGATAAAATAAATACATAAAAGTGCAAATATCGGCCCACGGGTCTATTTCTAGTTTATAATGTAAACTAAAAATGCTACAGAAGGAGTAAAAAAAATAAACAAACTTGAAGGATAATCTCTCAAATATAAGGTTATAAAGTGATAACAGTTCATTTTTACAGTACATTCACGTTTTGTGCGATACATACTTTGCAGCTGATGTCGACGCTGTGTCTGAGGCTCTGTTACTCAAGTTAGACTTTAATCTGAGCTTTGTTTTAACACAATTTGACCAGAAAGAGGTGGTTTAGTTGGAAGTACAACACGTGAGCTGATTTGTGCTGTTAAACAAGTCTCTCAAAAACTCATTACAAAGAGGCTAAAAACAGGCCCATAAACGCTCGTACTGATCACAGACTAGTGAAAATGTGCTCTTTAAATCCATTTTGTGGTTTTTCTTAAGTTTTTTGGCAGTGTTTGCTCATGTGTGCATTTGGTAACTGTTGAACATTACGTCCTAGACATACAGGCAGAACACCTCCAGCGCGATGTCACTGCAAAGTATCAATAGAGGCTTTGCACCGTCACGTGTCCCCATGGCAACGGTACCTACGCCGCCATGACACCGGGCACACTATGTCATTGACTTCAGCAGCATCGGAGAAACATGGGCAGGTTTTGTTGTGTGTTTGGTTGTTCTAGACGCTCTGAAAGAGATAAAACGATTCATTTCTTCATTATTCCTCTGGAAGTTATTCATCAGGATCAAACAAGGGAATTATCAAAGAAAATACGTGGATTATGGCTAGAGAACATAAACCGCAAAGAGATTTCCTATGGTACCATCAAGACACCTGAAGTTTCATCAAGGTATTTGCGATTTAAATTGTTTCAAAGTTTATTTAATGAAAGAAGCACATTTACTGAACTCAAATGTCATTAATTTATCCAGGAAAACCTGCACTAGTTTACGATTCAACGAACCCACACTGGGCTCCTATGATCAACATGACGCACGAGTCGAAGAGTCTGTGAGACGAACCTCGAAAGAATCGGACATGAAAAGATCCTCACGAACGTTAGAAAGATCCACTCACAAAAAGTGATTCATTCTAGAAGACATAGTTGTGAATAAACAAGACAATAAAGAAAACATGGTCCTACGACGAGTGACATGTTTATATGTGCGCTGGAAGATCCAGTTTCTACTGCCACTCACACTGCAAATGTTTTCTTTTTACATTTTAGTTCAGTAAATGTGCTTCTCTCATTAAATAAACTATGAAACTATTTAAATAGCAAATACCTTGATAAAAATGACGTGAGTGTGTCTTGATGGTACCACAGGAAATCTCTTCGCGGTTTATGTTCTCTAGACATAATTCCTGTCTTTTTTTCGATAATTCCCTTGTTTGAGCTCCTGATGAATAATTTCCAGAGGAACAGTGAAGAAACGATTTGTTTTATGCCTTTCAGAACTTCTAGAACAACCAAATACACAACAAAACCTGCCCATGTTTCTCCGATGCTGCTGAAGTCAGTGACATAGTGTGCCCGGTGTCATGGCAGCGTAGGTACCGTTGCCATGGGGACACGTGATGGTGCAAAGCCTCTATACTAACTACATTTAAAGGCACATTTTAGCACATTTTTGTTAGATTGCCAACAGCATTTGAAAATTGTCTTCTGTAAAAAAGAAAAGAAAAAACTTCACATCTCTTCTGTCAATATCGACCACCCCTCCATTGTCATTTTGATCGGAAATAAATCACCAAAAACAGTAAAAAGCTGATATCAAAGTTATCCACGCTTCTTTAGGTCACGTGACAGGAAGCCAGAGCGACGAAAAAACTGACTTTGTTTATTTTGGCATGAAGATTTTGGTTATGGCACCCTTGCTTACAGTTTTTGGTGGGGGTTTGCAGTAGTTATGCTCAATATTATTGTTTACATTTTCCGTATATTCCGGCCTTTTCCGTTTGGCCCACTGTCTCCGGAATCGCTCGAAGCTGTTGACGATTTTCTGCTGCTGCTCCGAAGTCTGACAGGGGAACAGGCTCGGGACGTAATCCGGGTCGTACTGGTTTTCACTTTTCTTGCCTGGAAAAGAAAGAACAAGGAAGGTTACCGTAGCGATGGGTAAAATGACGGGGCTCACAGCAGCAGTTACAGAGAGAGAGGTGACGATTTTTCAGTGTAAAGTCAATTGGACCCAAAGCTGATGAAGCCGGACGTCCCCCCCGTGAACATTTCCTATCCTCCACATTCTTATGGCGAAATTACCAATGAAAACATGCATTCTTGCTGTGACCGGGCTTGCATCTCCACAGACCTGACCTGCAGTCCAGGCAATAGCAGTTATATTCTCTTTTGAAACAGATGAGAAAAGTTTAACCTTAACTTGCCTAACCTTAACTATGTAACTTTTTGGTTGTGGGTCTGTCACCTGCTTGTTTCTATGGAGATGTCATTGCCCTGCCTGGAATGTTCCACAGTGTGACTTTAAATAGTTCTACCTTACATTTATTCAATTACAGGTGGTTTTATGTTAGTGTGGCAATTTGTACAATGAAGAGGCTCACAGCAGCAGTTACAGAGAGAGAAAGGTGACAATTTTTCAGTGTAAAATCAATTAGAGCCAGAGTTGATGGAGCCAGAAGAGCCACCATGAACACTTCCAATTTGTAACACAGCAGCTAGTGATACGTCTATTTCTACACAAAAGTGCTCAAACTTTCGTTCCTATGGACAAGAAGCTGAAAGTCGTTGAATCTAACTCCAGATTATTCGGATGTTTTTGTTTTGATTGTAGCAGATTTTAACTGGCTATTCATAGGTTTCTGCTTCCTCTTCTGTGTATTTGAGGACTTAAAATAAATTGTTTAAACTGTTCATCGCTATGGCAACACTCCTAATTACTCATCATTCTGAAACCCAGAGTATCCAATCCAATCCAACTTTATTTGTAGAGCAAATTTTAGAAACAAATCCGTTTCCAAAGTGCTTCACACAGCAATATTCAACATTTAACTCTAAAAAGGTAGCAGAATTATCGTCCAGACAAAAGAAACTAAAGAAACAATAGATAAAAGAATAATAAAATAGATAAAAGAATAATAAGAATGTAGAGTAGTGCAGGATTTTGTACAGAACTTGCCTATTGATATTTAAAGCCACAGTAACACCCTCTAGCAGCCGATAACCTAATAATTTGAATGTAATAAAGCCAATAATGTAATAAAATGTCTGAACCAATAACGTAATAACCTGATGACAATAATGTAATAAGTTATTACATTATTGTCTTGTTATAAATCTGCTGCCAATAATATAACAATTGTAATAATACTTTCTTAATATCATTTAAAGGAAAAGTATGTAAAAAAAATAACTGTAAATTAATTACAAAATGACCCCGATATATCACCAGACATTTAGGAATCATGATCATTTCAAACACTTTTATCAGCGACCACAGTAATCCAGCCTGAATATTCTCTTTCCCATGGAAATTGCAGCCCTCAGTTTATGTTGACGTTGTCATTACGTATGTGTATATTCTATGTTTTGGCCTGTTGCACCACCTCCACCTCCACCTCTGATTTCACAGTGTGACACTTTAAATTCATCTAATAAATCTGAAAGGATTAAAGGAACAGCAAGTAAGTTTGTGGCCAAAACTGGTACTGCAATCACGTATGAAATACTGCAGAGCACAGTATCCCCTCCCCAGACAGGAGGTCCCCAGGTGGGAGTCCAAAATCAGAGGTGGAGGTGGAGGTGGTGCAACAGGCCTAAACACAGAATATACACATAATGACAACATCAACATAAACTGAGGGCTGCAATTTCTATGGGAAAGAGAATATTCAGGCTGGATTACTGTGGTCGCTGATAAAAGTGTTTGAAATGATCATGATTCGTTAATGTCTGGTGATATATCAGGTAATTTTATGATTAATATACAGTTATTTCTTACATATTGTTCCTTTAAATCAGAGGTGTTCACACTTTTTCAGCATGTGAGCTACTTACAAAATGACCAAGTCAAAATGATCTACCCAATACAAAGCCAAACAAACTGCACTGAAACACTCTGTGCCCCTTTTCTGGACCCTCACCCACAGTTTGAGAACCTCTTCTTTAAGAGAACTTCCTCTGGCACAAAAAAAAAAGAGAAAAAGTGAAGGAAGATTTTTAAACCTGTTTTTTAAAGTTCCAAACTGGAGTTACATTCTTTTCTGGTTTTGCAGTGATATTTACCAGCCTCTGCACATTTACCAAACCAAACGCACATCGTGACAAACACAGATGCATTTGTCACTTTTGTTAGACAAACTTCAGTCAAATGTGGCAGTAGGTCTGTTCTGTAGATCCGCTCTATGCTGTAGACCTGCTTTGTGCCAACACTGGAACACAAATTTAGACTGGTTTTTGCTTCACGTTTGGTCTTGCTCTTCTAATCAGCCGCACTGTGGGAGGGGCTTGTGTTCGCTGTACGCAGGAAGGAGCGAGAGCGTGAAAAGGCGAGGGGCGGCGTGCTGACGTGAGGCAGATGGACAGGTAGGATGTTTAGGAAGTTGAACCTGCCCTGTGATGCACGCTGGTACACGAGGGCACACGCTGTCGCAGACGAGCCGTGCATAGGGAGCGTGTGTGTTTGTGATGTGCCGTAGAGTCTCCGCGGGTTTCAAATGAGCGCACAGGCTGCACTGAGACGCCCCACACGCTCCTGCACCCGCTACAAGTTTATTACCAACAGCAGCGGCCGTAATGAAATATGATCGCACTTGTTGAGTGTCAGACCTCGAGTGAGAGACAAGACCGAGTCCAAACGCGAGTCGAGTACTAAGACACGGCGATCTACCCACACGACCTTGGCGATCAACTGGTAGATCGCGATCGACGTATTGAGCACCCCTGGTCTAAATGATATTAAGAAAGTATTATTACAATTATGACATTATTGGCAGCAGTTTTATAACAAGCCAATAATGTAATAACTTATTACATTATTGTCATCAGGTTATTACGTTATTAGTTCAGACATTTTATTACATTATTGGCTTTATTACATTAAAATTATTACGTTATTGGCCATTATTATGTTATTGGCTGCTACACACCCAAATATTTATAAAATCTCAAAAACCAGGTGGCAAACCCTTCATGACAAATATGTGCACCTTAAAAAATAATTGTACACCTACTCTGGGTTTCATATGCATATGTTTCAACTTCCCGTTTATCCATGGATTTCAGAATGATGAGGAATTAGGGCCATTGCTATGGTGATGAACAATTAAAAACTAAATATTTAATCTTTTCAATGAGAAAAAGTCCTTCAAATGTTGCATATGTTGAAACTCATGAATAGGCAACATTTCAGAGCATTTTCCACCATTCAACAGACTGAATTACCTGTTACTATGGCAACAGTGCTAATTTTTCATCTCTCTGAAACTGAAGGATGCAACCAATGAGCAACGACGCTTTCACTTCATTAGGCAAATGTTTACCACAACAAACAGACCAAGAAAAACGAAAACACTTTCTTTTCACTGATACTATGTCTGATTTGTACAAATTTCAGTTCCCATTTCTGCCGAGTGGAGTTTCAAGTCAGTAATCAAAACATACAGGCTTAGAAAATGGTCAACATGTCAAAGATGAGCAGTTAACAAAAATAAAAAATGACAGTAACATATATAACTAACACTGAAAGCACTTTAATCATGTAAAGGTGCCACAGGGGTTTAAAGTAGAGCAGTCATGTCTTTTCCTGTTTAGAATGGATGCCATTTTGAGGACTTTTTTCAATTCAGAAGCTTGTATATTAATCTTATTTGAAATTGTTAACTATTATTAATAAGTGCAATTTTCCTTACGTTAAAACTCCATGAATAAATTTGCTTCCTTTTATTGCTTTTTCTTTACTTTCTTATCTTTGAAAAGTCAGCTATGTACATATTATTATTATTTTTTTCTGCTTTGAGTCAATAATCACACTGTAGAGGCTTATAAAGTAGTTAACATGTCAAACTTGAGCAATTAACACAAAATTTAAAATATAAAACTAACACTAAGAATCATGTAAAGGTGCCACAGGATCAAAAGTAGAGCAATCATGTCTTTTCCTGTTTGTAATAACCAAATGGACGTCATTTTGAGGACTTTTTTCAATTCGGAAGCTTGCATATTAATCTTCTTTAAGACTTTTTTCAATTCAACTGATCGCATGTTAATCTTAGTTTAAATGTTTTCACTATTATATCTCTGGCACGTTATTCTAATTTCCTATTGCTATGGCAACAGTTCCAGTTCTTCGTCACTTTGAAACTCGGTGTCCACGATTGTGTTTTTTGTTTCGCTTTCTCTTTCTTTTTATAAACTCAGCTCTGTTTGTTTATTGATATGGTGAATGACAAAAGTGTTTATCGTCAATCCCAGAGGAGCAGTAGGTTTTGGCTCGAGTCCCTCGCGGGTCTCCGTACCTGACACAAAGTGCTGGCTGCAGAGGCGCGTGTTGCCGTTGGGGCTCCAGTTTTCGCGGGCGATGGCGCTGATCCATCTCCGGCGCCGCTCCGGGTCTTTGGGGATGTTGTAGAAGATGATCCCGTTCTTCTGAGACTTGTTGTTCTTGCAGCCGACGGCGCAGCACACGGACGGCATCGCGACTTCCGTCCTCAAAATGGCACCAGGAGGAAGGAAGCGAGAGTGAACCATGAGCGCGCGTCACCGGACAAATATGAACACGCTGCGTGCACGTCATGTACAACTGTTTTGGTTTTTTTGGGTTTTTTTTTTTTTAAGTAAATGAAGATAGTTCTATAGTTGCTGTTTAAATACAATTGTTTTAAACAGATTTATCTGTCTTAATCATAATATCTAGCTTATGTAATTACTGGGTTTTCATTAAAAAGTAATAAAGCCTACTACAGATTAATAGTACTCATAAATTACTGTCCTGGAGATTAACTACTAACTTTAAACACTATGTAACTATGATACACTATGGGCCTGGTCAAGCAGAAGTAAACATCAAGGCCAAAAATTCAAGTTAATGCATCTGATATAAAAATGTATTGAACAGATACATATGTACTCTAGTTTATGAAACTGTTGACCTTTTTCTGTACCATTTTTGGTTCTAAAGTTCAATACGTTTTAAACAGACCATGTATGAAACATGGAACAAAAATTATTTCCCAAATTTCAAAGACCTGCAAATCATGTCAATAAATGGATGTATTTCATCATATCTTGTGTTATTCCATCTTTGAACTGTTGATGAAGGGACAGGATTTTTTAAAAAAAAAAAAGTATTTAAAATGATAAAAATTTGCTTGGAAGGACTGACATATTTTATAGAAATAGTTTCCTTTCATTTTGAAGTAATATTAAAGTTTTTGGAAGAAAAAAATGACAAATGATGTAAAATCCTGCACCTTCTACTTGTTTGCACAATTTTCCCTCTGTTACTTTTCCCTCCGTTACCATGACCTTTCTTAATAAAAAATCTCATGAGTCAAAAAGTAAGAGGTTTTTCAACCTAATCTTGTACCATATGGTAGAAAACTATATGAAGCAAATATTCAAACCAGTTTGTTAAGGATATGGAAGTGAGAACCAAGAGTTATCACTGTTTGGATTTATTGCCCAAAAAGTGCTGCATATTTCATTTCCTCCGTTACCCACATGAGTTTTAACATTTTTTGTCAACAACTTGAAAGAATATCACAGGTTTAACTTGACCCTGTTGGAGTGTAACTCTTTCCTACATTCTGATACTTTACTTATTTCAATAGTCCCTCTAGTTTCTGAATAAGAGACATTTGAATGTCAAAATTCTGCCCCTGTTTCCTTCCATTACCACTTGACTAGACCCATATGTAACTTTTTTGTTGGGGTCCCGTACTTGTTTGCTGCTATGTCTGTCTTTTTTCCAAATATGGGATTTCTATTGCAAAACTGACCAAAGAAAACATACATTCTTGCAAATTCAAATTAAAAACAGATTTTGTTTTTTGTCCCCATAACCAAGATTATGTGGATACAGATTTTAGTCCCATGTTGTCATAAATACAGAAAACAGAACAGAAACGATTGAACTAAGTAAAAAAAAAAAAAAAAAAAAGTTGTTGTTGTAATACCAGTACCTACATACATTGTACTGTGCTACATAAAGCTGCATTGTGTAACTTTTCTGGTGTAGGGTCCGTCACCTGCTTGTTTCTATTGAGATGTCATTGCTCTGATGGGAATGTTCCACAGTGTCACATTAAACAGCTCTACTTTACATTTATTTAATTACAAGTGGTTCTAGAGTTCAAAAATACAGAGAAAAACAGACATTTGACTGTGAGTGGGGTCACCTCTCCACAGATCTGACCTGTAACTTGGTCTAGGTTGGTCTCCATGAAGACAGAAAGGTTTAGCACCATGGAAGCAGCAGCTACTGTATTAGCTATGTCTATATTTCTAAACAAAAGTGCTCAAACTTTCGCCTGTAGACAAGAAGCTGAAAGTCATGAATCTAACTCCAGATTATAAAGATGTTTTTGTTTTGATTGTAGCAGATTTCAGATTTTTATGCAATTCCAGGTGGTTTTATAGCTCAAAAATACCTAGAAAAACAGACATTCTGACTGTGAGTGGGGTCACCTCTCCACAGATCTGACCTGTAACTTGGTCTGGTTTGGCCTCCATGAAGATAGAAAGCTTTAATGCCATACTGTGGAACATTCCAGATAAAGCAAAAAACATGTCCATGGAGAAAAACATCTGACGGACCCTCCACCAGAAAAGTTACACAATGCACCTTTAAAATCATGTTGATAAAATAAACTGATTTAGATTTGTGTCCTCCAAACAGAAACTACTTAACTACTACAAATAAATAAATAACAAGTAAGTAAGGCCATTTAACAATGAGGATACACTGGTTAAAAATTGATCGAAAATGATCCATTAACTTCAACATAACATTTTTTTATTGAAATATCGAAACATGCTCTTGAAACTGCAACCTGTAAAATTAAAAGGTGTAAAAATGACGTGGAGAATGAATCCATGCAGTCTACAGTTTATCTGGTGGAGCTTTGGTTCAAACAGGACAGTGTAACTGGAAGAGGGAAGACAATATCAGATCAAGCCCTGAATTTAACCTGGTCAAAAAAGTTCCTGTACAAATTTACAATATACACATTAACGGCTACGGAGAGGTCAGCTACTATTCAAGTGCCCACACTACGCCGTTTTCTGATCTGTGTTATTATGTCGTTTCCTCGTCACAAACAGACCTGGAGTTGTGTTTTGTTTCATTCACACGTTTAACGCACAAAACCTGCACATATAGAGTGAGTTCTTCTCTCAAACTGAAAACACAAATGCTCCACTTGTGTTTTTAAACTCCATACACCTTCACTAGAAACATTTGGAACTGGTAATCTCCGCTGAAGAAAAGATAAAAGGAGCTGTTAACTTGAAAACTACCACGTGACATCACAAAGTGGAAGAGAGCATTTTGAGCTTTGGAGATGTAAACAGACAATTAATAAAGTGTTACTCAGATGTGTGTAAATGAAATAAACGCAAAACACAACTCCAGGTCTGTTTTTGATGAGGAAACCACATAATAACTATGGCTAAAAGCTCACGACAGTTCATTTTGCGTAATATAGGGCCTTTTAAAATACACTGAAACAAAATGCAGCCACTGGACAATGTCAGGCTAAACAACAGGGCTACAGCTTCTGCACAAATTTGGAAATATAAAAAATAAAAATGATGCATCCTATGACTTTAAGTGGAGCTGAAAGGCAAGATTAAACAGTCATGTCATGTGAAGACAGTTAATGTTTATGATACAGGAGAGGGATACAATTTAGGGCAAAAAAAACAAACAAAATAAATAAAACATAAGAAAAATAAATAATAAAAAATATATATATAATAATTGAGAACACAAATTAGGTAAATTGAAAAAATTTACATAAAATTTTTGAATTACCAGTTACAATATTTATACTGTTTTGTTATTCCTTAAAATTTAGCTTCTCTGTCAATTTTATCGTCTCAAAAAAGATTCTATTCTGAAATTTGCTTTGACTTGCCCTTCAAAGCCACTGCGCTGATGGCTCTACAATTATATTTAAAAGAAAAAAAAATCCTTTTGTTTCTTCTTCTCTGGAAACAACATTGTAAACTCAGAATATTCTAAAAAAAATAAAATAAAATACATGTCTACTTAAGGCATTAGGACAAAACATTTTTACATTAAATTTACTGTACACCACTTTCACTGTAAAACTAAACATTTTCTTCTTTTGAAATGGCAAATTAAATTCACATAACGAACACAATTTTTACAAGAAGAAAAAATTTACAAAAAAAACAAAACAACATTGTCTCCCTGGATTTCATACTGCCGCTGTGTCTTTGGACAAGACACCTTTCTCTCCAAAGTATAAACACCCACCCTCTGGTTCCAGTAACTTTCTAATTTATTTTTTCCCATAAACTTTCAGAAAACAAAAATAATATTTATTTGAAAGTTTGAAAGCTCAGGACTAAACACTAAATTAAAGGTGCACTATGTAACTTTTATTAGGGAGTCCATCACCTGCTTGTTTCGTTGCTCTGCTTCAAATGTTCCACAGTATGACATTAAATAGTTCTATCTTACATTTATTCAACTGCAGATTTTATTGCTCAAAAATACAGCAAAAAAAAAAAAAACATATCCTGACTGTAAGCAGGGTTGCCTCTCCACAGATCTGAGCTGTAACCTGGTTTGGTTTCCATGGTGATAGAAAGGTTTCATAATACCATACTGTGACAACATTCCAGACGAAGCAATAACATCACCATGGAGAAAGTCTTTGACGGATCCTCCACTAGAAAAGTTACACACTGCACCTTTAAAATCTGTTTCTGAAACTTTATAAACCACTAAGTTATTTTAGCATTTAGCTGAATCTTTTGTTTTAAATGTGTTTTTTAGACTTCAAACAGCCGCGTTATTATATATGATATTAGTTGCCACACTGCGTTAGCCTCCGCGATGCTTTTGTAGTCTCAATATTTGATTTTTTTTTTTTTAATTCTATGGGAAAAATAAACAGAAAACGTCCTACTTAAACGGACTTGGGAGAGGGTGGGACTATTGAGCTCCATTGTGATATCAGTGTAGCTTCCAACTGTCTATGTGGCAGTTTAATTATTCTGTCATAGCTGATTATTTAGTCGCACAAATGTATATCAAGTTATTACATTTGCTTCAGTGCCCTGGCTTTCCTTATCAACATAACCCTCGCAACAGTAATGCCAAACTGACAAACGGCGCGAGTGACAAAAACGTGAAATAAAAACTCGAGTGTTTACTTAAATTGACGTTTGACCGTAAAAGAGATTCTGCAATTGAAAAACACAAACGTTGCCACGGTAACAGAACCACGCACTCTGCAGTTCTGTGGTAGAGGGGCTGTGCTTCCGTGTGCTTTAATCAGCTCTGACACTGGTGCATTGTGGGTCGGGCGTGGCGTCGGCTCACTTCATGAATCCTCGCCCAGCTCTCGACTGTCTGTGCGCGCCATTTTACGAGGGGGCGCCGTGTTCTCGCCCTCTGCCGGCTCCTGCTCCCGTTTCTTGGCTGTATTCTGGAAAACAAACGAAAAATAAGTCTGAGATCATTTTCTAAGTTATTTATTGTTACAATGCAAACAACTCACCCTTATGTAACAGATAATACTCCCTACAACTACAAAACAACTCATTCTTATGTAACAGATAATACTCCCTACAACTGTACAACACTTCACAATATGTAAAAGATAATACTCCCTACAACTGTACAACAACTCATATCATCAACTGTTTCCTTATGACCTGTTAAGGGATATTTTTTATACTTACCTCCTATTTTATTTTAATTTGTACGTATACATTTTTATGCCTCATGTGACATCAGCTTCTTGCCATTTCTTTTTTGCTACTTATTTAGAATTTATTATTACCATTTTTTTTTTTTACTCTTTGTTATTATATTATATTGTGATGTGTGAGCTACTGTGTCCAAGTCATTTCCCTTGTGAATCAATAAAGTCTGTCTAAATCTAAGTCTAATTTAAGAGAGCAGACTTTGAAATCCTCACCTTTTTGTCCCACTGTTGGTGCAGATACCGCAACAAAATGTTGGTCTTCTCTGTGACGATGACTGGGAAAAGACAAGTTGCTCAGGGTTAGGGGAACTGGGGCTTTTCAGATTCTAGAATGTAATATGTCACACTCCCCGGGGACGTCTCCTATTGATTACTTTGTACTTTGCCATGAAATCTCCAAAATGTAAATTCACAAATGTTGAACCTAATCATTTCTATTCGTAACTAGACCTAAGAACTCACTGTATCCCAACTAAAACCTACATTTTAACCATCTTAATTTCAGCTAACCCCAATCTGTATCAAATAAAACATTGGACTACGGAATGTTGTGATGTCATCTGAAACCCAACGATTACAAAATACGTAAGCCTTCTACTTATTTTTAGTCTTGAAGGGGGGGTATTATGCAAGATCAACTTTTCTGAGACAAGTTATAACATTGTTTCCTCATCAGAAACAGGCCTGAAGAGGTTTTAGTCATCCATGCATGTTTAAATCATTTGGTTATCTCCCCTGGGCCCTATTTGAACGACCCTTGTGGTTAGCTCTAAGATTCTGCCCAATCCTCGGACCACAGGCCTACGTCACCCGTGCTCCCACATGACACGTTTTACATCAGTAAACAAAAACTTGATACTAGGCCAAACTGATTTTAGCCATTCACAAAAATACAATCTCTCGCCGATTTGCACTGGATGAGTCTCTTCAGCCTCTTGTTCTCAGAGTGGATCAGTCTGGTTCTTCATAGCGACCACAGACTGGGAGTGTGACGTCGCCCACAGCGTTTGGCTCCAGTCAAATGAAACTCAAGAGGCTAGCAGTTACAGGGGCGAATTTAGAGCCAGGTCCAAATTAGGAAAAGAAGAAAACAGTGAAATAAAAACAGCAGGGGCAGGTAGAACAGATTAATACAAACATTTTAAGACCACAATGGTAAGGCTCACTGCAGCAGTTACGGAGAGAGGGTTTTTCAATGAAAAGTCAATTGGAGCCAGAGCTGATGGAGTCAGAAGTGCACTTGAGTCCATTTATACAGTCTACGACACAGACTTTGGGCTTTTTTTTTTTTTTCAGCAGATACACAAGACGTTTCACTAGTTTCTTCTTTTTTGGGGGATTTTTTGTAGGACTAAAACTTGGTGCTTGTTACAGTCTAAAAATCTGACAACCCTCTTTTCCCCCTTTTTCCTACCAGTGTCTAGCCTCAAAGACGTTTTCCCAAACAGATTGATTTCTCTTTCTCTCTTTTCTCTCATCAGACTTTATGCATTCAATACTCCACACTGCACTGCACTCATTTCAAGAGTCTCTTGATTCAATTGCCCTTGTGCCCTCCATCGTGCTGCTCTTACTGTTATTTGAACAATAGAGAGCACTTACTTTGTTCTGAAGGGTATTCTCGAGTTGGAAGATACACTGACGGCCTCCGGTTCTGTAAAAAACAACAAAAGTTATATTGGAATATTATTTTATTATTTATTTAGAGGACCACTGTGTAACTTTTTGCTGGAAGCTACACCAAGTTTTTGCCTTTGGAGAGATGCTATTGCTTTGCTTGTTATGTTCCACAGTATGGCATTAAACATCACTTCAGCCTCCTTTTCATTAGAGGTGATTTTATTATTCAAAAATGCTTTTAGAACCATGCCTTCTTGTGTGATTGAGCCCACCTCTCCGCTGATCTGATATGTGTTTTGGCCTGCTTGCCTCCATGGAGAGAAGTTTAATGCCTTATTGTCCAGGCTACACATGACAAGTACATTTACATGGAGAGTAGCATGTGGTGTACCCTCCCCAAGAAAAGTTACACAGTGCACCTTTAAAGCAGTCCTATGCTCAAACAAGGAGGATTTACTTTTTTCCGCTCGACCTCAGTAAGGCTGAGTCAAAGGCACTTCACAGTGAAGTAGGAATTTTAAGGAGAAGCCACTGACTTTATCTTTTGAAGGAAATACAAAAACAAAAAGTGTACATGAATCATTATCTGGCTCAAGTGATGTCACAATACTAAGATTTCAAAATTGATTTTGATACTAAGGAATAGACCCAATATTCAGTACAGATTCTGATACCACAATGATAATAGAAACACTTATTTAGACAATAGAATGTGATTTTCAACATTATATCATAGTACTTTCTTTTATATTACCACATGGTCTTACATCTGTATGAGTATCTAGTTTTTATACTTTTTTCCTCTTATCTAGTACCTGATATTCGATACTTTTGACCACCCTATCCGTCTCAGGCTCATATTATCTACCCCTAGGTATAATAAACATACATTATCTCATTATTACTGTAATAAAAGCACTTACTGATGCTTTGCAAACTGAGTCAGCGTGGAATCTGCTGAAGTTGTTCTTGTTGTAGACTGGAAGTCCTTTTAAGAAGTCTGCCTGTGAAACACAAGGTAAACCATATGACAAAGGTGCAATGTCTTTCCTAGTACTATTTAATTGTAACATTAAGCTAACAAATTAGTATAAACATATTTACATCAGTGTGTCAATGAGTTATGAAGGACTAGTGTTGTTAGGATAAAAAAAATGTCCAATGTCGATACTAAGGAATAGACTCGATACTCAATACTGATTGCAATTTTGATTCCACAATGACAATAAAAATGTATTGTATAAAAATACAATAGAATGTGATTTTTAACTCTTTCCGTGTCGCTTTATATGTGTGTAATCCTCAGTGGACCAGTAGGTTCATAGTGTCCATGGGTGTATACTAGTCTACAGTCCCTGACAAAAGTCTTGTCACTTATCCATTTTGTAGAAACAAAAGCTTATAACCTGACTTTAAATGAATCGATTGGTTTTAGAAATGTCTCATATGAAAGCTAAAACCCTCCCAAATTATGCTCAATATACTAAAATAAATTTGCTTCACTGAAGAAAGATTGATCATTTAATGAACACAGAAAGGTCAGATTTTGGCAAGACAAAAGTCTTGTCGCCTTGTCATATGATGCACCCAATCCTAGATTACAGCCTCACCTGTGATCAGTTACTGATCAATCAATTAGTGGGTGTGTATAAAAAGAACCCCAGCACACCAGACCTTCACATCAACTGCAACTTGACCTCTGACAACATGCCTAAGATCCACCCTGAGACCAAAGTGTTAATTATCAAGAGGCTGAAGACCAGATCCACTGCTGAGGTGGTGACACCTTCAATGTGTCTCAGTGTCAAGTACAAAGAATAAGAAAAAGATCTGAAATGACTGGAGATGTTTTTGACAAGCCCAGGTCCGGCAGAAGCCCCAAGACAACTGCTTGGGAGGACCGTTTGTTGATTGGAAAATCCAAGGCCAGCCCCTTTTCCACTGCAGCAGACTCCACCAGGCCTGGTCACCTCAAGTCCCTGTGTCAACCACAACAGTTTGTAGAATTCTGTCTCGAAATGGCCTCCATGGTCCAATCAGTGCACAGAAACCAGCACTAAACAAAAGGCAATTAAAAAAACGTGTGGCATTTGCCAAGGCCCACAGCCTGCTAAAAGGATGGACACTGGAAAAGTGGCAGAAGGTGGATTTCTCAGATGAATCCTCGGTTGAATTACATCACAGCCGCCGCAAATATTACAGGAGACCTACTGGAGCCCGCATGGATCCAAGATTCACCCAGAAAACAGTTAAGTTTGGTGGCGGAAAAATCATGGTCTGGGGTTCCATCCAGTATGGGGCTGTGCGAGACATTTGCAGGGTGGAAGGCAATATCAATAGCCTAAAATATCAAGAAGTATTAGCTCCTCTTACATTCCCAACCATAAAAGGGTCCAAATTTTGAAGCAGGATGGTGCTCCATCGCATACTTCTATCTCTACATCAAAGTTTCTCAAGGCGAAGAAGATCAAGGTGCTCCAGGACTGGCCAGCCCAGTCACCAGACATGAACATCATTGAGCATGTCTGGGGTAGAATGAAAGAGGAAGCATGGAAGGCAAAACCAAAGAATCTTGATAAACTCTGGGAGGCATGTAAGACGCTTTCTTTGCTATTCCTGATGACTTCCATCAACAAATTGTATGAATCATTGTCGAACCGCATGGATGCAGTCCTTCAAGCTCATGGAAGTCATACAAGATATTAAATATGGATCTCACAGCACCACTACTTAATTCACTGACGTTATGCAACATATTTTTTTGATTATTTGAAGTAAATATATTTGTTCAATTTTCTGTAGAGTTCGACAAAACTTTTTGTCATTTCTGCAAAAAAATACTGACCTTTTTGTGTTCATTTAATATTGATTCAATCTATTCTATCAGTGACCCAGTCCAAAAAAGTAGTGACATTTATTTATTAATTTTAATCCTTTCATCTATTAGACCTGCACAAGTCTTTTTAAAACCTTAATTGTTACTCCCATATCAGTAACATTGTCCAAGGACATGCAGATGACTGTTAGGAAGATCCTTAACCATGAAAAGTCCTCAATAATGTTGTTTACTTCTAAATTTAACCTGTAAATTGGTTCTGTAGTGGACCGTTGGTCAGTTGATTCTCACCTGTTCAGATTTGTCTAGGATCTCAACTTCTGATAACAGTTTTATATGTACCAGTAACAATATTTTGGTCTCAGAAATGACAAATTATTATAGTAAATTACCAAAGTACTCATTTATCTTATTCTTCTGTCAACATTTTATGACACAAAGTGGTAAAATTTACAGTGATCATTTAGCACACTTGTGGATATTCAACAGATTGTGAACCATTTAATCAGACGTAAAACACCACGTTGTTTTTAAGAACGTGTACCATACAATAACACTAGACTTACACGGTCAGAATTGGGTATTTTCGTCATTTCTATACAAATACATGAATCTATAAAAGTTTCTTTACCTTGTCCATGTTGATGTCGGTTTCTCAAGTTTATAATCCAAGAACCATGAGGGTGAAACCTTGGTGCTAGCCTGCGAGCTAACGGCTAGCAAAAGCCTGTGTAGTCTTTTGTCGTAGCCAAGAAACCGGTTTGTTTACAAGAACCGACGCTCTTTACAGATAAGACAGTTCTCAAACTACTGCTAGATTTGATTCAATGTAACTCTAGAGCTTCATCCGAGTATAATACGCGAGTTTCTGTGGAGATATTTTAAGAAAAGTTCCCTAATTTTAGCGTCCTTCGGCTGCTGCGAGTGCGCTCTCCATTTTTGTTGTTCGTCTGCGGAGGGGGCGGGCACATACCACCAAATAAGGGCTCTGATTGGTCGGCAGCGGAGGGGAAGGAAAAAGCAGGTCTGTGATTGGATGAGAGGTGTTTATGTAATAGGACAATCCCCCAGCGCAAGTGTTGTGGCATGTCTCTCGATCAAAACAACACTGCTCCATAGTCTTTCCTGTGTCTTTTACGTTACCATTAGGGTGACCAGGCGTTCATATTTACCCGGGACAGTCCCAGGTTTTGAGCCTGTGTCCTCCGCCCTATCAGATTTATACAAAACCAGTGATTTGTCCCAGTTTTATACAAGAAATGTCCCTATTTTTGACCAATTTGATCTAAACTAGGTCTAAACCATAGAATAGAATGCCTTTTATTGTCACTACTGTATACATATGTACAATCCATACATACTATACACATATCACATATCACCCTCCAGTGCAGACATGTATGTGGGACAACACAGTACAAAAAAGAATAAATAAAAGATAGAGTAAATAAATAGATACATAATTAGTAGTGCAAGACATAAAAAGGTTGGGACACCCAAGACTACAAAACTCTAACTAGACTGTATTAAATATTGTAATGTATTAAATATTGCACTCAATCAAAAATGTTGCACTGGATTTAAATATTGCACTCAGTTAAGATATTGCACTGTATAAAATAGTGCACAACAGATGGATGGAAGGAGATCAGGGGATTGAGAGATAGGAATGTGTTGTCAATCAGTGCATGAGTGTGTTCAAAGTGGTAATGGCACTTGAGAAAAAAAAAAAAAAAAAACAGGACTAAACCAAGATTAAATCAGGACTAAAACTGGACTATCACAATTTTTGACTAATCTGATCCTTGCCAACAGTAAAGAGCAGCATAAACTGTCTTTTTTTTTCAAAGTCATAGACCGTATGTATGTATTTATACCAACCATCCCAACACGGGTGTGTCCCAGTTTAGAATTTTGAAAATATGGTCAGCCTAGTTATTTTACGATTAAATTTTTACATTTAATGAAACAGGAACCCACATTAGTACAATGTGTTTTGCAGCAAGTTAAATTTTGTTCAGACTGGCTGCTGTATATTCATAAAAGATACAAATTGAAAGTAAAATTGCCTTATCACTGTAGCAGAAATCCCTTTTGGTTTCAGAATGAGGAAATTGAGGGCTGTTGCTATGGCAGTTAACAAACTATTCCAATTCTTCTGTTTTGTATGGTGAAATGTCAGTGATAACAGGAAGCTGATCACCTTTCTGTTACACAACTGATTTGTGATATTGTTTTATTTTGAATCACAAATTATAATGTATTTCAATATTTTCAGTAAATTAGTCTTTGTCATGTGATTATCTATATCTGTATATCATGTTTTGGGGGTTTACCAAATTAATAACTATTAATAAGAATATATATTGGGAATTGGAACTAACCTTGACTTGGGATTAGATTTAGGACTGTTACTATAGCAATAAAACATTACATAACAGGAAGCCCTTGTACTGACCCATGAACAGCACGCACCAATAAACCAACTGTGTGTATTGTACATTTTCGGCAATGGATCTTAGCTCTGAACCATTTTTAGATTCTCATTAAGCAATAGAAAAAGAAACTGAGACAATAAAATGTGATTGTCAGCCTTAAAGCTACACTAAGTAACTTTTTGTCTGGGGGCCTGTCACCTGCTTGTTTCTATGGATATGTCAAGCTTGGTTTCGAAGGTTCCTTAAACAGCTCTACCTTACATATATTATTATTATTATTATTATTATTTATTAGCTGAAAAAACATAGAAAGAGTGTTTTTATTATCACTGTGGTATCTGAATCGGCATTGAGTATTGAGTCAGTTTAAATTTTTGTATTGTGACAACATTAATCCCTAATCATAACCACATAACCACATAACTCATGACCAAACACAATTTTCCAAAACATCTTATTTATTCACATATTCATAACATTGATACAGAAACCACCTTTGTCAACATCCACTTTCTCATCTCCTATTCACAATTATTCAAAACGCACCCAATCCTTAGTTCCACAGTCCTTTGCAGATGTCCCTGGACTGTAGGAGACCACCCTTTTGTCCCCATTGTCTTTCCTCCTGTAGATCCCTTCAGTGGCTCAGAGACTTCCTCCCTTTAAGCATACGCCTCAGTAACACCTCAATCCCTCCTTGGGTGCTGCATCTTTTGATCCAGCCGTGCGTCCTCTTGCGTTTTAAGTTCTTGGGTTGATACTCTGTGCCCCTCTTGCGTGTCCGAACCTGTTGGATTTGCCAGGGGGGCTGTCTGAAGATTCCGGACCCCTCGGCCTGTGCGGACAGTGGACTCGGGTTGGAGAGTCCTGGTGTAGTTCTAGGCAGGAACCAGCTGCTGAAGAGGCGGAGGCGAGTGTGTCCAGAAATGGCTGGGTTAGCCATGGGGAGACTAGAGAAAGAAAGTTAGAAATGTTAGAAATGCAGGACTGTAGTCAAAAGGAAACATGTCCTGTGGATCAGTTAGTCAACTAAAGAGGGGCATGGCAACAGCTCTCAAAACTATACTGAACATTTTTGGAGTGTGATATTTTGCAACAAAAGAATATAATCAGTGGTGGAAGGTAACAATGTACAAAAGTAAAAGTACAAGTACAGATACCAAAAAATTGTACTTAAGAATATTTTACAGTGCATACTTTTACTTCACTATATTTAAGAGCAGGTAACAGTACTTTCTACTCCGCAACGTTTTAAAACTGAAAAGTACTTTTCTTTTCAGTTTGAGACCTGCTGAGAAAGCTGAGACTTATTTTTAGCTAAAAGAGCTAGAAAGACATTCTACTCAACTGCATTTTAGATCTGGACAGAAAAATAAATAAATATTTTCTTTATGTTTGAGACCTGCTGAGAAAGCTGAGACTTATTATTAGCACATTTAATGTGTTAACATCCCTCCACTTTGAGCAAACCAAAAACACAAGAACGCTTAGAAAAATTAACAAATCAAGTGAATCACTTAAAATCCGCTCAGTTCTTTATCAAAATCACTAAAATATTTTAACTTTCATTTTTTAACATGTATTTCAGTAGTTTTACTTAAGTAGATTTTTATATGTGATACTTTTACTTGCACAGTCTTTTGCCCCTGTATCTGTACTTCTACTTATGTAAAAATTTGTAAATTTAGCACTTCATCCACCACTGATTATAATGATGGCAGAAAACCCTTTTTAAATTAACCACATTTTCCTAGTAAATAGTAGCACAACTGAACCTTTTTGTACTTTGTTATGCCCTGAACTACCCTTGTTGCAATGACTATTCTCATATGTAGCTATTTACACAATTGAGATTTTAAAAAACATGTTTATAACTAATTTTCCACGTTTGGAGCAAACGTCTTTTAGTAGTTTACTCTGATTTATACAATGAACGAAAACAATGTATTTTAGACTCATTACAAAGCAATGTTTATAGCAGATCATAGAGTACATTCCAGTAGCTTGTTTTAGGTATTATTACAGTAATGATTTCAGTCAGAGAGATGCAATAACGTGTGAAAAGTCTAATCATTCAAAACACTTTTCATTCTGTGGCTCTACTTAGCCTTTAGCCACTTAGCCATGCTGTTGCTAACCCCATGCTAACCACTTTCAGCTCAAAATATCGCCGCTGGTTGCATATATTTTACATTTTACATTACCTTTGCAATCTGGCCATCCCACACAACCTAGACACGGACGATCGGACAATGTTCATGTTTAGTTTTCATAGATTTGTTGCAGACATGAGAGGAGAGTAGCTGAATGTCAAACAGCCGTGTGCTAGGTCACGTGAGTACAGGGAGACACGTGATTGGCTCAGAGCGTTCACACGTCTTCTTCGTGGGAGCACTGGTGACTCGTGGTACTAAGTTACTGACAGTGACATCTAGAGGTTTAACATGTGAACTGTCACTAAAACGACAGCAACCTGAGAAATTAGATTCTTGAATATTTTTGGCAGAGGTGGGGACCAAGTCGTGACTTGGACTCGAATCAGACTTGAGTCACTATTTTAAGACCAGATAAAACAGACAAAGGCTTGGGACTTGACTCGGACTTAAGCCTTGTGACTTGAGAAGACTTGATGCTTCTCCTAAAAACATGTATATATATTTTTTAGAAAATACTTTTCTCTTTACATTTGAAACATGCGGTGATTAATTTTACAGGAACAAACTGTAACATGTTCCTCCCACTTTTGTTTGTTACTTAAGACGGAGTAATACAATACAAGACAAGACAATACAACACAATACAAAATAGTAATATACAGTACAATACAGGATATATAGAACATACAGTATATATAGTACATACAGTATATATAGTACATACAGTATATATAGTACATACAGTAATATGCCGTAAAACAGAGAACATGATCCTTCATGGCAAAATAACTGTTATTAAGCACTCTTAAATCTGAATTCTTTCTATTCTGGCCATAATAATTTACACTTTTGTCAAGACGTTTAAAAAGGAAAAAATAGCATTTCTACAACTCTTATATAAATACTCACATACCATGACTACAGTACAATTTAGTTTAAAAGTCATATAAATAGAAAAAAATAAATCTAAGCTATATTTGGTACATTGCTAGTTTTCTTTCTTTTCTTTTCCTGTCTTTGATTTTGGACTTTGTTGAGACTTGCAAAAGAACAACTTGGTCCCACCTCTGACATCTGATTCACCACAAATATTTCAAAATACTCAGTTTAACAGTGATCTGAGGAAGATCAGATCTAGAATGTGCCTGAAAATATCTGTTTGGGCCTGTTTTTTTGGCCTGTTTTTTGATTAATATACAGTATCTGTAATTACCGGGCTTATCCACATTAAAACCAGTAAAGTATTTTGTTGAGTATATTTGGAGATTTATCTTCCTTTTAAAAACAGTCAATCTCTCATTGAATTATAGGTATAGGCTTTATAAACTCCTGCTCTCAATCTGAAATTATTATGATCAAATTCTGCAACATTGTCTGACATTTCATCACAAGTTATGATATGTTTTAACTTACCACGCAGCTGATTTGTAAGCCTTTTGTATCCAGGATTACAACTGTAGTGAAGTACCCTCTGCTTCAACCTTACAATAAAAACAAAAAAAAAAATCACCAGCAAATTACAGTGAGATTTATCGAATATTGTGTGAAAACAGGATACTGAAGACAGAGTAGAGCACAGTAACTTATTTATTTGCTCAGTCGATGTCAGATGTGAACCTCTTTCAGACTTGTATATCTGAGTGCATCTAAAATGGATGCTCTGTGTTTTCGTTGATGTGTTTCTCTGCTCTGGAGCTGTTCATTTGGCTGATTGTTTTCTCCTCCAGCGAGTGAAGAGGAGGTTTCAGCAGCCCACGTGTGTTTGGCTCTGGGGATCTGGGCTACTGGGCTGTGCTTTTGATGAGTCATGAGCGAGTACACAGACACACACACACACACACACATTGGGTTTGGTGCCTTTCAGGGGCATTACTCTGACCTACATTCATTTCAGGAACACTGATAACATTATTGTTACACTGAAAAAATTGTCCGAGAGGTGTTGCTCAAATTGCAAAAACAAATTTGACAACAATAACATCACTTTTTTACGTTTTTCTGTCCAGCATGTTTAAATCTTACAAACATCGCTTGATTGTGGCCGATGTGAGACCTGCATGTTTTAATCAGGTTGAGGAAACATGACTTTATTCTAATCTGTGGTGAGGCTCCTCCCTCTGGAATTCTCCTCCCCAAAACTTTTGGAGGGAAAATTCAAATGGAACAGGACACAGGACAGATCCAGGAGCAGAGGACACACAGTGTGGAGCAGGAGGATTATGAGAGCTGATCTGGAGGGGAGACTTTTCAAAGATTTTATTATGTGCTTCTCCGGCCTAGAATGACGTCATTGTTAAAACATGTTTGTGTTGTTTTATTTGAAATTAGAGTTAATGTAAGGACAGCTTGAATCAAATTGTTTTTGACTGTCCATCTACAAGAGTGTGACAGTTGTACTAAGATTTGAATGTGTTGCTTCCAGAGTCGTCTACAAGCACAGAGTGACGTCCAGAGCTCTGCTGGAGCTGTGGGGAAGTTCATGAATGTTATAGTTGATGTTTCAGAAAAAAGGAAAATGTTTGAGAACCAACAAAACACAGAGCACAGATGAACAAAGTAAGTAAACCAACTAAAATTATTTAAAATTTTTTCAAAATGAACTTCCTATTGAACTTATCGTACTTGTACAAGGTGATGTGGCACTAGGAGGACTTTATACCAGATGCCCTACCTGTTACTGCGTTTAGAGGAAGAAAAGCAGCACATGGTGAGTTTTGTTTCTGCAGATACACTTCTAATGTTCTTGTGATTCTGTTCTGGTCCATTATTGTAGTATTAATTGCTATAAGTGTATTTAAACATGTAGAACAGAGTAAATGATCAGAATGTGATCATCATGTGTGATTCTGTGTCCACAGAGACCAGAGCGTCTTCACTGGAATAAATCTTCACACTGTCCAGCTCCAAACTGTGTGTCTCTGTCCCTGTGCTCTCTGTGTGTTTGATTCTGTTTAAGACAATACAGACCTGTAGAAAACTAAAGACTGTTTTTGTTTTCTTTTACAGAATTAGATCAATTAAATTACATTATACATACTTATACATTTCATGATAAGGTAACATAAGATAAATATACATATTCAGCATGATTTGTTCAAATTTCATCAACATGAAAAAGTGATGTTCATGTTCCGAGAAAAATATGTGTAGAGGGGTTCGAAAAAAGTTTCAAAGCCTAAACATAATTTTATTGCGTGCAACCATTTTCCATAACTTTTTTACGCAAATCCAGCAACTTTTTTTTTTCAGTGTACCTAAACTTCATCTAAGTGTAAACATAATGACATTCCTCTTTCTCTGCAGGCAGTGTTCACTCAGAGAGAAACAAATATCATCTAAGGGCTACATGAGTGTGCCACAGGACAAGAACGATTCTGAGGAACATTGTTTATCAAGTTTCAATTATGAACAGTTGCTGCAGTGAGATAAAACAAGAAACTTCTCTTTTTCAATTCAAAATAAGAGACAGTGTTGGGGAGTAACAGATTACATGTACCAGAGTTATGTAATCAGAGTACAAATGATGAGTAACTGTATTCGGTTACAGTTACTGTTTCAGTGAGTGGTAATTGGATTACAGTTACTTTGTTAAAATACATGGATTACATGGCGATATTTCCCTTTTTCACATTTTGGGCTAAACCAGGACTAAACTAGGACTAAACCAGGACTAAACCAGGTCTAAAAGCAGGACTAAACCAGGACTAAACTAGGACTAAAACCAGGACTAAACTAGGACTAACACCAGGACTAAAACCAGGACTAAACTAGGACTAACACCAGGACTAAACTAGGACTAACACCAGGACTAAACTAGGACTAAACCAGGACTTAACTAGGACTAAAACAGGACTAAACTAGGACTAACACCAGGACTAAACCAGGACTAAACTAGGACTAAACCAGGACTAAACTAGGACTAAAACCAGGACTAAAACCAGGATTAACACCAGGACTAAAACCAAGACTAAACCAGGACTAAACTAGGACTAAAACCAGGACTAAACTAGGACTAAATCAGGACTAAACTAGGACTAAACCAGGACTAAACTAGGACTAAAACCAGGACTAAATTAGGACTAAACCAGGTCTAAAGAGTATGACACCTAACAGTAGTGTGGACATCATTTAAGGCAGCATTTCTCTATCAATAATCTTTTTAATCTGGTTAAGGAAAGTCTGGGCTTTTTATTTTCTTTTGGCAGATAAAACTTCTTATGTTCAGATCCTCATCTTTGCTTCTCTACAGGAAACAAAAGTCTGTTCATGGAGATTTGGGCTCAACAGACAATTTGAAGAGAACAAACAAGAATTTTCAGGATGTGGTTGTTACATTCATGTAGTTTTAAAAAAACATGACAATATCAAGTAATCCAAAGTATTCAGATTACATTACTCACTTTAAGTCATTTAATGGATTCTATTACAAACTACATTTTGGGGTATGTAATCTGTAATCTGTAGGGGGATACATTTTAAAAGTAACCTTCAAACACTGATTAGAGAATAGCAATGGAAAAATATTTGAAAGAATAATGACAGTAAAGAGAATTTTGTTATCATTAGAATAATTGTTGATTTTTTTATGATGTAGTAAAATGTTGTATTAATGTCATATTGATTTTGTAGATGAATGTCCATGAACGTGCTGGTGTGGGAGATGAGGAGAGGCACAAAAAGCTTCAGCTTCTGCCAACAGCTGCTCACTGACTTAGTGTTTGATTTGATTGTTCTACACACTGAATATGTTTTATCAGATTGACCAAATAAACGCTGACCAAATAAAAACACATGGCATGAGTAAATGTCTAAAATAAGATAAGATAGGATAAAATAATCCTTTATTGTCTCCCATGGGAGAAATTTGTCTTGGGACAGGGGGTCACATGCTTTATCAAAAAACAGGACAACACAACACAAAGCACCACATAAACAAACACCATAGAACAAAATAAATATGAGACCAAGTCTGACCACGAGTGATGCACCAACAAGACCTTTAAATCATTCTTTACAGGGAAACCCTTTATATTCTTGTAATCTATTAATAACTGCACATTCCCTGAGCCTATGTGCCATTTTTATTGCACATTCCCTACGCCTTTTACATTTATTTGTTTTATTGCATCAGAGTTTAGCAGATTAACGGCTAATGGCACAAAAGAATGTTTGAATCTGTTCAGTTTACAGTTTGGGACCCTGAACCTTCTGCCTGACACATCAACTCAAACTGACTGAAGAACATGGGTCGG